CCCCCCCCCCCAAGTTGTAAAGTTCGTTTTTCCTCTCGCATTTCTTGAAAGCAAATATCATGGGGCCTCTGGGAGTTCTTTTGCTATAAAGAATACTGACTTTCTGGAGTAATTAGTATATTGTACAGGATTGCTTTGTGAAATGTACAAATGATACTGCCTATGCAGCCTTGTTTGATTTCCTCTGGTTTGTACTATTGTTAAAAAAACATTGTATTATAGAACTATTCAGATATTTTAAATATAAACATGTACTGTTTCCATAATATAGATGTATGGAATATATTTAGATAATAGACACATTACTTGAAAAGTTTTGCGTTGACAAACCTACAGAAGTCTAGGTCAATTAGTAAATGTTGTAACCCAGTGAGCCGTAAATTGATGGCATGCACCAAGAACAGGGTAAGGACATAAAAATGGAAACCAGTCTCCAAAAAGTGTACACTTTAAACTTTCTCAACTGCTGCATATATGTGACCTGAGCTCTCCTTCTCCATCCCCTTCATTCTGCTCCCTAAAATATAAATTGAATTTCTAAAATATAACTGATTTTAAAGGAGAAGGTTCTCTTGTGGTTTTAGTTGGGGAATAATCTTTCAGCAAAAAAGTGTGGTTTTTGCAAACAAAAGTAGACTCTCTCTCTTCTAGGAGGGTGGGGGGCGACCCACAGCCTGGCACCATGGCCATGATGGCCTTTTAAGTCTTAGATCAGGGTAGAGTCACACCTTCCTGAGTTTCACCACCAAGTTTAGTAACAGGATTCTACATCCCTGCCCAGTACTCCCTGAGAAGTGCCTGATGATGCTGATATGCTTAACAGACACAAGAACAATCTTCATTATAATTGTATAAAGCCATAAATGTACATAATCTTTTTTTAAAAAGATTGTATTCACTTAACTACAAGCCAGTTTTACTTAAATCAAGACCATCCAAAAATATTCTGCCAGGCATTCATGATCTGAAATCTGATATTAGAAATCAGTTGAATTATGGTATACTTAAAAAGCCATGAGACATTTCTTTTGCAATAAATAAGGCAGTAGCTATTACTCATTTGTAGCTTTTTTGAAATAAGCTATCAAATCAAATCTGCCCTTTCTCCCTTCTTAATGCCAGCAAAGATCATTTTTGTTCCAAGGATGTACTTTTTGGGATTCTCCAAGTACTCCCATCAGTGATCCTCTCTATGTGATGCCTTTGTTCTTGTTGGAATCTGTGTAAGTGAATCCACATGCTTGACCTGTCTTCCCACCAAACAGACCATGGAGATTAAGCCCAGTCTAATGGTGTGGCACTGGCATACTAATGAACAAAAATCTTCTTGCCTTTCTCAACATCACCCATTTTGTATTCACTCTTTCATCGCTATCACAGAAGGATAACAGTTCCAAAGCCAGACACCCCGCTCTCTATAATTGATTTTTATGAACAGTATAATTTGGGATCCTTCCTCAGAAGACAATGCTCAGTGATAAATACATATACATGTTTGTATGTGTGTGTGTGTGTGCGTGTGTGTACCTACATATGTATACATTTACATATATTTACATGGTTCTTATGTTAATAGTTTGAAATAACTACAGTCTAATCAAATTTGATATGTTTTGAAAACAATTATCACTCAAGATTTTTTTACCTATTGCATTCAAAAACAGTATTAACAGTTTGGTGTGTTTTTTTTTCATGTTTTTCTGTTTTGCTTGGTCTCTGACTGTTACTGGACTCTTCATTTTAGAAGGTAATCATTAATTTTTTGACTTGAAAATTATATTCCTCTGCTGTAAATGATGCTAATAAAAATAACGTGTTTCTCTTTTACAGGAAAAACTTTTCAACTCTACTCTCATAATCTTATTGCTTTGTTTGAACAAGCCAAAAAGCCAGGCCTTGCTGCCCATATTCAAACTCATAGGTTTCCAGACCGCATATTGCCAAGGTACAAAATACCATTTGATTCTAATGAGAGTGAAGGGAATTAGTGTTTCTTTGTATATCAGTCAAATAAAAAAGCCCTTATTTTTCTTAATTTTCAAGGTATTTACACTAAATTACATGTTTCCAAATTTAATTATTCACAAAAAGTATTCATAAAAGTATATTCATAAAGTATTCATAAAAGTATTCATAAAAGTTTGATAATATAGATTATCAGGCCCTACCTCAATCCTGTAAAATCAGATAGTCTGAAATCAAGGTCCAACTAGTGTTTTTAGAACTCCTTTCTGTCCCAGTTCTGATACATCTGGTTCATAGATCACACTACAACCATTACAATACAGTACATTTGTATTGTCTCATGTTTTCAGAAAGTTCGCTTTAACAACAAAGATTCCTGATACGAAAGGCTGCCACAAATGTTGTATAGGTAAGTAAATGCTATTTCTCAAACTGGACAATTAGAATTTCTAACACTTTTTTCCTTTTTTTAAAAATAATTTTTATTGAGATTAAGTGATTACATAAATTTCACAGTATTGTGGGATAGTGATACTTAAAGTCACAAACATTTTAATCTTCACAAGGCAAATTGTCATTATCATGTTCTATAAAGTTTGTGAATTCTATGAGCTTTGACAATACAACTATTTCTTCCACATTGGGTGATATGTACATTTCTTTCCTTTTACTTAATGTAAGCTGTTCCCTCTTTCCCATTCATTCTCTCCCTCCCATCATTGCCCTTGAGTTACTTAATTTATTTTCATCAATGTCCAGTGCAGCTGAATGGATCCTTTTGCTGTATTTTTTCCCGATTCCCTCTGATTCTGTGCCCTCCTCCTAGCTTCCCTCAGATGTGCACAAATATATGGCACATATGAGGTCAAGAACATGGATTCATTTAGAAATGATAGGACAAATTAAGTAGATGTCCTTTGTTTCTTGAGTCCTATTTACTTTGTCATATCTCCTTGAATTTTGGAATTAACATTCACATATCAGGGAGACCATGTGCTATTTGTCTCTTTGTTCTTGGCTTGCCTCACTCAAAATAATTTTTTCTAGTTCCATTCATTTTCTTGTGAATGCCATTATTTTGTCCTTTCTAATGGCTGCATAATAGTCCATTGTATATAGGTACCCAGTTTTTGGATCCATTCATCTGTAGTGGGGCATATGGGTTGTTTCTATATCTTAGCTATTGTGAACAGTGCTGCAATAAACATGGAGGTGCATGTGTTCTTGTATCCTGATTCCTGTTGCTCAGGGTAGATACAAGTGGTATGGCTGGGTCAAAAGTGAGGTCTATATTTAGCTTTCTGAGATACCTCCAGACTGGTTTCCAAAGTGGTTGTATTAGTATACATTCCCACCAGCAATGCAATAGGATTCTTCTTTCTCTGTTTCCCCTCCAGTATTTGTCATGAGCTGAATTTAGAATGTGGGCCATTCTGACTGGGGTAAGGTGGTATCTCAAGGTTGTTTTTATTTGCATTTCCTTCACAGCCAGGGATGACGAACATTTCCTCGTGTTTCTTTGCCATTTTTATCTCTTCTGAGAAGTCTGTCTTTAGTTTTTTGCCCATTTAATGATTGGTTTGTTAGATTCGGAAGAGATTCATTTCTTGACTTCCCTGTATATAATGGGTATTAGGCCTTTGTCTAATATATTGCTGGTAAGTATTTTTTTCCCAATTGGTTGGCTATCTTTCTAGTCTGATAGCTATGTCTTTAGCTGTGCAGAAACTTTTAATTATAAGGTAATCCTACCTGTCGAGTCTCGCTTCAATTTGTGACCTTGGGACTCTGTTCAGGAAGTTTCTGCCTGTGCCTATAAGTTCATGTGTCTCTCCTACTCTGTCCTGTAGTAGTTTCAGAGATTCAGGTTTGATGTTAAGGTCTTTAATCCATTTTGAGTTGATGTTAGTGCATGGTGACAGGCTGGGGTCCACTTTTAGTTTTCTGCATGTGGCTACCCAGTTTTCCCAGTACCAATAGTTGAAGAGGCTATGTTTTTTCCACTGATGTCTTTGGCTCTTTATTTTTGTTGGTCATGGGGCCTGAACTCTGGACGTGGGCGCTGTCCCTCAGCTCTTCAGCTCAAGGCTAGTGCTCTATCACTTGAGCCACAGTACCATTCCAGCTTTTTCTGCTTATGTGGTGCTGAGAAATCAAACCCAGGACCTCATGCATACAAGGCAAGCCCTCTACCACTGCGTCACCTTTCCAGCCCTGTCTTTGGCTCTTTTGTCAAATATTAGCTGACTGTAAGTATGTGATTTTATTTTTGTATCTTCTAATCTGTTCCATTGGTCTTCGGGTCTGTTTTGGGGCCAAGACCAAGCTGTCTTTGTTATTATGGCTCGATATTAGAGCTTGAAATCTGGTTTTGTGATCCCTCCTGCATTGTTTCTTTTGCCTAGAATTGCTTTGACTATTCTAGGTCTTTTGTTGTTTCATATGAATTTTTGGATTGTTCCTCTATTTCAGTAAAGAGCGTCATTGGGACTTTGATGGAAATTGCATTGAATTTGTATATCACTTTTGGTGTATGACCATTTTCACAATATTGATTCTACCTATCCAAGAACACGGAAGATCTTTCCATTTCCTGATGTCCTCTTTGATTTCTTTCTTTAGGCTTTTATAGTTTTCATTAAATAAGTCCTTTACATCTTTGGTTAGGTTAATTCCTAGATTTTTTTTGAGGTTATTGTGAATGGGGTTGTTTCCCTGATTTCCCTTTCTGCTTGTACATTGTTGGTGTACAAAAAGGCAATTGATTTTTGTGAGTTAATTTTGTATCCTGCTACTTTGCTGAAGTGGTTTATAAGTTCTAGGAGTTTGGAAGTGGAGTTTTTAGGGGTTGTTAAGGTATAATATCATGTCATCTGCAAATAGTAATAGTTTAATTTCTTCCTTCTCTCTGTGGATCCCTGTAATGTCCTTTTCTTGCCTTACTGCTCTGACTAAGGGTTACAGAGAAGCGTGGGTATCCTTGCCTTGTTCCTGATTTTAGGAGAATTGGTTGTAGTTTTTCCCCATTCAGTATATATTGGCTATTGGTCTGTCGTATATGGCTTTTATAGTTTTAAGGAATGTTCCTTCTATCCCTGTTTTCTCCAGAGCTTTTAACACGAATGGGTGTTGTATTTTATCAAAAGCCTTTTCTGCATCAATGGAGGTAATCATGTGGTTCTTGACCTTGGGTCTGTTGATGTGTTGGATTATATTAATTGATTTACGTATGTTAAACTATCCCTGCATCTCTGGGATGAGCCTACTTGATCATAATTATATGTTTTTTTTGTATGCTTCTGGATTCCATTGGCTAAAATTTTATTGAGGACCCTTACATCTGTATTCATCAAAGAGATTGGTCTGTAGTTCTCATTTTTTGTTGGATCTTTGCCTGGTTTGGGGATGAATGTGATCTTGGCTTCATAGAATGAGTTTGGGATTTCTTCCTCTGTTTCTCTTTCATTGAAATGCTTGAGGAATATGGATGTTACTTCCTCCCTAAAGGTCTTCTAGAATTCCGTAGTGAGTCCATCTGGCCCTGTGCTTTTCCTGATTGGAAGACTTCTGATTACTTTCCTCGATCTCTTTGTAAGTTATTGGCTTATTTAATTGATTTATTTCTTCGTGGTTCAAGTTGGGCAATTTGTAGTTCTCTAAAACTTCATCCATTTCTGCTAGGATTTTCTTCCTTAGTGAGTATAGATTCTGGAAATGGATTCTTATGATTGTTTGGGTTTCTTGGATGTTTGTTGTAATTTTTCCTGTGGCATCCCTGATCTTAATGATTTGGGTCACCTCTTCTTTTTTTAGTTAATATTACCAGAGGTCCATCAATTTTATTTTTTTCAAAAAAACAGCTTTTTGGTTTAATAATGTTATTTATAGTTTTATTAGTCTATCTCATTAATTTCAGCTCTTATTTTGGTTATTTCCCTCCATCTAGTAACATTGGGTTCAATTTTTTTCTTGCTTTTCTAGCAGTTTTAGTTGCATCATGAGATTATTTACTCAGTCTGTCTCTATTTTCTTGATGTGTGCACTGAGAGGAATACATTTGCCCCTCAGGACAGCTTTTGCCATGTCCCACAGGTTTCTTAGTAATATATATTCATTTTCATTGAATTTTAGGAACTTTTTAATTTCTTGATTAATTTCTTCTGTGACCCAGGTGTTGCTCAGAAGTGTGATGTTCAGTTTCCATGTATTTGAGTAATTTCTACAGAATGCTTTGTTATTGAGAACTAGCTTGATTCTATATGGTCGGATAGAACACAAGGGATTATGTTGATCATCTTGTATTTGCTTATATTTTTTGTGTGAGCTGTTATATGATCTATTTGGGGGGAAGTTATATGGGCTGCTGAGAAGAATATTCTGGCTGGGTTGTTGTTGTGTGGAAACCTCTGAAGATGACTATTAAGTCCATTTGAGAGATGATATCATTTAATTCACAGATTTCTTTGCTAATCTTCTGGTTGGTAGACCTGTCCTTTGGTCAGAGCTGAGTATTAAAGTCTCCTAGCGTTATATTTGGATCTGTTTTTTTCTGTAAGTCTGAGAGTATTTGCTCAGTGTGTTTGGGTGCTCCAATGTTTGGAGAGTATAAATTGATAATGGTGATATCCTCTTCATGGATTGTTCCCTGTATTAATATGTAGTGTCCTTCTTTGTCTTTTTGTATTGATTTTAATGAAAAGTGTATTTTGTCGCATATCAGAATGGCAACTCCTGCCTTCTTGCTGGGAGCATTTGCATGGTAGATCTTCCTCCATCCCTTCACTCGGAGTTTGTTTTCATCTTTGGCTGTGAGATGGATCTCTTGAAGACATCAAAGGGATGGACCTTTTTTTCTGGTCCAATCTGCAGTTCTTTTTCTTTTGATGGGTGAATTGAGTCCATAAATATTTATGGTTATGCATATGCTGTCATTTTCCTGCTTCCTATGTTTTTCTTCTTTCCTTTCCTACTGTGCTTACTAAGTTAGTCTAATGATACTGTCTGATGTGGATCCCTGATCTTGTTTTCTTCAGATTGTATTCCCCCGCTTAATATTCTTTGTAGTGCTGGCTTATTGTTTATGAATTCACTTATTTACTATCAAAAATTTTAGTTTCCCTGTCGAATGCAAATGCTAGCTTTGATGGATATAGCAGTCTGGGTTGGCAGTTATTGGTTCTCAGGGCCTGGATGGTACTTTTTCAGGCTTTCCTTGCATTCAGAATCTGTGTGGAGAGATCTTCAGTGATACTGACTTTTTTCCCATTATAGTGTAGCTCCTTCTTTGCTTTTGCCACATGCAAGATTATTTCTTTGTTACACAGATCTAGTGTTTTTACTATGATGTGCCTAGAATTGTTCCTCCTGAGATCCTGTTTGCTAGGTGTTCTGTGTGCTTCTGTTACATAGGTGAGATTTTTCTCTTTTAAGATTGGGGAAATTTTCAGTGATAATCTTATTGAATAAGTGTTGCATCCCTCTATTCTGCTATTTCTCACCTTTGTTGACCCCAGTTATACAAAGGTTAAATTTCTTGGCATTGTCTACTTGTTCTTGGACTTCCCTTTGGCATATTTTGAGTGTTTTTTCCATATCTGTGACTTTTTTTTCCAGTTGCTGCATTTTGTCTTCAGTACTTGATATTCTATTTTCCATTTCATTCACTCTTAACTATGGATTCCATTGTGATTTGCATGGAGAAAACTGAACCATTTGTGATTTCTTTTGTTGTTGGTGGTGGTCATGGGACTTGAACTCTGGGCCTGGGCATTGTCCCTCAGCTCTTCGGCTTAAAGCAAGCACTCTGCCACGTGAGCTACAGCACCACTTCTGGTTTTCTGGTTGTTAACTGGAGATAAGATTCTCACAGGCTTTCCTGCCTGGCTGGCTTTGAACTGTGATCCTCAGATCTCAGCCTCCTGAGCAGCTAGGATTACAGGCAGGAGCCACCAGTCCCCAGCTTTATTTATGACTTGTATGTCAGTTCTCAAAGTGGTAAGTTCATCTTAACGAGGTGTGTACTGCATGTATTCTTGAGTGCATCTCTTTTTTTGAAATCCTGGCTCTCGATATTTCATCCCCTTGTTCTTTAAGTTTCTGATCCATTTCTCACTTTAATTCATGTGTCATTGCCTGTATGAACTCCTGGATGTAGCCTTTGTCTTCCATTTCTTTTTCACTTTCACTGGAGTTCTTTCCTGGGTGGCTGCTGGCCTTTGGAGATGGTTTGCTTTCTTGGCTGTTGATGAATCTTGTTATTTTTCACTATGATTTTCCTCATAGGGATTCAGGGATTATTGGAGTCAAATCCTGAACTCTTCACTGGTTTGGTCAATAGGTAGCTGCCTTTGCTTGGTATTTGGTGGTTCCTGGGTCAGTTGTTGAAGCTTGCTCTTTGTCCTGGGATGGCTGAGAGGGACTTTACCGGTCTCTGTTCTGTTGGGAGGAGGGCCAACCTCCAGCTGCTAGTCTGACCCAGGTAGAGCTCACACTTGATAGATTCTGGTGGGCAGACACACTCCACCCTCTGCTGAGGCATGCACTCAGTTCCTGACTTCAGTCAGGGACAGGTGGTTTAGACAGCTCGGGCTCCTGCCTGGGGCACATACATGCAGCTCATTCAGCCGCCTGCTGGAGCTCACACACAATTTCCAACTTCAGCCAGGGACTGGCAGCCTAAGCTGCCTGATTCCTTCCTGGTGCACACAGGTGTAGTTTGTTTCACAGGCGGTTGTAGCCCGCAAGCACAGTTCCCAACTTTAGCCTGGGACTGGCAGCGCAGGCCGCTTGGACTCCCTCCCAGGGGCACCCAGGTAGAGCTCCTTCCACAGCCAGTTGTTGTAGCCTGCTCACAGTTTCTGACTTCAGCCAGGGACCCATAGCCTAGGTTGCTTGAGCCCTCTCCCAAGGGCGCTCTGAGCCAAACATAGTGGGCTGGGTGTACTCCACCAGCTGCTGGAACCTATGTGCAGTTCACAACTTCAGCCAGGTACTCTGGGTTTGTTGTTCGAGCTCCTGCCTAAGGCACACAGGTGGGGCTCCTGCCACTGAACCCACACGCGGTTCTTGACTTCAGAATGGGACTCAGGGACCTGAACTTCATCTGCCTTCTGGGGCACACTCTTAGGGCTCTTTCTGCCACTGGCTTCTGGAGCCTGCAAGCAGTTCCCAACTTCGGTCAAGGACCAGCCATGTAGGTTGTTGGATCTCTGGTCCAGGGATATTCTTGGTCAAGCCTGGCAGCTGGGTTGTACTCCACTCAGCTGGGGTGCTTTCACAATTCCTAGTTTCTGTGGGACCAGTAGCCCACACAGGAGGAGGAGGAGTCCAGGTCAAACCCTGGGAGGTACCACCAGTGCTGCTCTCCCACGGTAAGGGGGGTGAGGGGAGTGTCCCCCGTGGAGTACTCTTTAGGGCTGTCCTGCGCGCTGTGGCAGATCCCTGTATCTGTGTGCTGTAGACCACTGGTCACTACTGCATTCTTTTGGCAAAGATTATGGGATGAGCAGGGTGGTGGTGGGAGCTCCGGGTCTGGGTTACACAATACCTTATTTCGTCTCTGTTTTCACTGTCGGGGTCGGGCGCCATGGGAGTTTTCTCACTGGAGTTTTTTTGACCACTGTGGCTCTGAGGTTCCAGGCAGCCACAGCAAGAGGTCAGGGAAGGGTCTTCACATTTTTCCATCTTTGTGCAGGTTTTGAGGGTTTTTTTCTATATTTTTTCAGTTCCTGTATTTCTCTATTTATTCGTCTTTTTGCTGTTGTCAATCTCTTAGGGGAACTGAGCTTTGGAACTTGAACTCTCTTATTTAGTTGGAGAGAGCTATGGTGTTTCCCTATTGTTTCATCGCCATCTTGGATTGTTTGCTACACACTTTTTAAGTTATTTGAAGAGTCTTATAGAATAAATAGGAAGAAAGGACACTTTTTAAATAGGTTAGAGGCCACTGAAGGACAACAATGTGTAGGGACAGAAATAGTTAACAGGCTTAAGGTTTTCTCAGAGTCTAGTGTTCCTATAGTTTTTAACCATAATTCTTGAAGCCATATTTCTGATAGTATCCCAGTATTCCTTTGTTTAACCCTAACACTTGCAAGTTAGTGCTAGCCCATTGTGACTGCTATTATAGGAGTTTATTCAACTATGAATTAGGACAGTCCATATAAAACCATTCTCACCTCGACAATCAATTATAAATTAGGGTAGGACCCCCAAAATTACCTTCAAATTCAAAAATTACTAGAAGAACTCACAAAACTTACTGAATGCAGTTATGTTCATGATTACTACTAGAAAACATATGAGTTAAAATTGGTCAAGGGAAGAAGAGCGTAGGAAAAAGAACATAATATTGAACATGGAGCTTGTGTTGTCCGCTAATTAAACCCCTCCATTTGCAGTATTGTAAGTGGCATTACACACAAGCATTGCCAGTAGGGAAGATGATTTGAGGCCTAGTGTCGAGAGTTTTTACTGGGGCTCCATCATGAAGGTGTGATTGATTATATACAACTAATCTCGGTATACAACCTGGGACAACTAATGCAGATGACCCAAAGCCCCACCCAAAGTCACATTGATGGTTTCTCTGGCATGACTAGCCCTCCATAAAACTATCTGATATTCCCAGCCTTACCCATACAAAGATGTTACCATCAAACATAGCTTTCCAGAGGCTTAGAGATTGTTTCTCAGGGGACAAATGATAGAGGACAAACCTTCTGAAGAAGGTTAAAGTCTTTACTACCTAATTTTCTTATTTCACTAACCATTATTGACACTAATTATGTCAAGAAAGTTACAGAATCTAGAACAAGATATGGGTCCATGTCTTCAATTCTTGAGTTCTAAATGTTTTTGTGAATTTACACATTGATAATCATACTCCATAAATGTTCAAAAGTATCGTCAAATACTCTCTAGAACAAAATATAAGTGTGGGATAGTCATATGTCACTCAACAATGGAAATACATTCTGAGAAATATATCTTTAGGCAATTTCATATGGTCCTTACACAGACTAAGAGTTACAATGTCACAAGCAGTCTTATGGGACTTTTGTAGTTTATGCCGGCCATCATTCACTGAGTGTTATTTAGCATATACTTTGAAACACTGTGAGCACTTTCCTAAAGAGAATCATGTATATGTGTATGATCAGATTCCTAAGATATATGACTTGAAAAGATCTATCAGCTTACAATCTTTAGAAACTTCTATATAATACCATAGAATTAGTGCTTTCATCATCAATGCATGTTAGTGATAAGGGAGACAAATTATATAGAAGGAGCTAACTAATTTGTAATTTTGTGGATTTGAATCAAGGAAGCTTAAGAAGAATTAATGCATACTTACACAGTGAGTTATTTTATCATGCCTGAAGTAGGTAATTGAAGACTTCTATGCCAAAATTAAATCATGTATTTCTATTATCCTTAGACCTTCTTGTCAGAATTTATTCTTTTAGTTTCCTTAAGAGCAAAACTTTTAGTGCCAAAAGTGTCTGTTTAAATTCTTTGCATATTAAGATTATTTAGAAGTAAATTATATAATTGATATAAGAAAGTAAAATGATAAAACCAAAAGAAATAAACATCATCGTTCTCTGGTTTCTTCCCCTTTTTTTCATCCTAGTTCACCAAGATAGTGATTTTTCTTTGTCAACCAAATAATACTTCATAATTTCTTCTTCCATCTGTATTTTGATATTGATAGCAAACCACAGTCAATTTGTTTTTCCTCATTTATTTTAGCACAGACTTTTTTAGAAAAAGCTAATTTAGCATTGAAATGATGATAACTCAGTTGTTGCTGCTGACTAAACTGTTTTCATGTAAAGGTATTCAGCATGTGCTTTCATTTTTGTCTTTTTTTCCAGTCAGAAACCCTTACACAGGTCACAAATACCTCTGTGGAGCTTTACAGTCTGGAATTGTTCTACTGCAATGGTATGAGCCAATGCAGAAATTCATGTTGATAAAGGTATGCATTACGTGTTGAAATTTTTCTTCTTTAGAAAACATTAGTATGTATCTGAAGTAACTTCTTTGTGTGTGCCAATAAATCATGGGGCTTAAACTCAGGGCCTGCATGCGGTCCCTGAGCTTTTCTCACTCAAGGCTAGTGCTCTACCACTTGGCCACAGCCCACTTTTGGCTTTTTTGGTAGTTTATTAGAGATAGGAGTCTCATGAACTTTCCTGTCCAGGCTGGCTTCAAACCACAGCCCTTAGATCTCAGCCTCCTGAATAGCTAGGATTATAAGTATGAGCCACCAGGACCTAACTTTGAAGTAAACATTTAAAACCCCACTTCTGCTACTTAGGGTAGGCACACTTCTATTAGTAATAGCTATATATTTTGTTTAGGGGGTTTTATGTTCTTGATAATATTCCATCTTTATATTGTTCTTGCTTAGTATATTAGAACCATCACATCCATAATATTCATCTATCTGGGTCTATAAAACTCATTGTATGGAACTTTTGTCCTTAGCATGACAAAGACCTGGAGTGAGGTCTTTACAGAAATGGATAAATCGGGGGCTGGGAATGTGGCTTAGTGGTAGAGTGCTTACCTAGCATGCGTGAAGCTCTGGGTTCAGTACCACATAAACAGAAAAGGCCAGAAATGGATAAGTCAGTTGGCTTTTTTTTTGGGGGGGGGGTTCTGGTCATGGGGCCTGAACTCTGGGCCTGGGCGCTGTCCCTCAGCTCTTCAGCTCAAGACTAGCACTCTACCACTTGAGCCATAGTGCCACTTTGGCTTTTTTCTTTTTGCTTATGTGGTGCTGAGGAATCGAACCCAGGGCCTCATGCATGCAAGGCAAGCGCTCCACCACTGAGCCACCTTCCCAGCCCCAGTCAGTTTGCTTTATTCAGAAGTGTGAATGGGAAAATTTTTCCTAAATTATATTCTGTTGTGTTTTTTTTTTTTTTGCAGCACTTTGATTTTCCTTTACCAAGTCCTTTGAACGTTTTTGAAATGTTGGTGATACCAGAACAGGAATACCCCATGGTCTGTGTAGCTATTAGTAAAGGAACTGAAGTGAATCAAGTAGTTCAGTTTGAGACAATCAATTTGAATTCTGCATCTTCATGGTTTACAGAAATTGGTGCAGGTAAGTGTTTTTTACTTTAAGTTAGAATGCTGATGCTTTTGCATTTAAAAGAAGCATATTCAAATGGTGTGGACTCTTAATACTCAGAACATAGTTTCCCTATAAGTTCATAGTTTATGATACTTTTGTCAGAGGAACTTTGATACAAATTATTTTACCAAGGAAAACTTAAATTCCTGGCATTTAAAATGGTTACTTGTGTGCCGGGAGCCAGTGACTCATACCTGTAATCCTAGCTACTCAGGAGGCTGACATCTGAGGACCTCAATTCAGAGCCAGGCCAAGCAGAAAAGTCCCTGTGAGATTCTTTATCTCCAATTAGCCACTTAAAACCCAGAAGTAAAGCTGTGGCTCAAAGTGGTAGACGCCTAGCCTTGAGCAAAAGAGCTCAGAAACAGCACCCAGGCCTTGAGTTCTAGCCCTACAACCAACAAAATGAACAAATAAAAGTGTTAGTTGTTTGTGTTTGTACTTACTAATAAATAATGTTTTCTAAGATAGTCAACTTTTTACCAGCTTCTTAAGCATATAAATTTATCTTATTTACCTTTTTAACTATCCTATTTTATCCCTTCTCTCTTTCCCCTTCACCTGTTAAAATCATGGAGTATGCTCTTCAGATTTGAGAAGTTTCTGAGATATAAGCCTTCAAGCTTTTCCATTTAAATATTTATTTTACTTTCTACAAATAGCTACAAATAGTCTAGGGGTTTATTAATCCAAGGCTCCAAAAAGATTGGAAAGTTTTTCTCAAATTTTAAATTTGGAAATATCAGTCAAGAATTTTTTTTTCTTTTTTTGGGAGTCAACCCACCTAGGGCCTGGGTGCTTTCCCTGAGCCTTTTTGCCCAAGACAGATACCATTTAAGCCACATCTTCATTGCTGAATTTTTGGTGGTTAATTGGAGATAACCTGCCCCAACTGGTTTTAAACCACCATCTTCCGATCAACCTCCTGAGTAGTAAGGATTATAGGTGTGGCCCACTGGTACTGGCTAAGAGTGTTTTGGTGTGTGTGTGTGTGTGTGTGTACGCTTGCGAGTGTGTGCCATTCTAAGGCTTGGGTGCTGAGTTTTTTTTTGTTCAAGGGTAGCACTCACTTGACCCACAGCTTTACTTCTGGCTTTTTGGTAGTTAATTGAAGATAAGAGTCTTACAGCCTTTCCTGCTCAGGCTGTCTTTAAACCACAATCCTGGAATCTCAGTTTCCTGTGTAGCTAGGATTACAGATGTGAACTACTAGTGCCCAGCTGTAAGGACATTTTTTAATGAAAAAAAATCCCAACTTCACTAGTCATCAAGTGCAAATCAATACTATAATGAAATAGCACCCCAGTTAGAATAGCTATTATCAGAAAAACTAAAAAACACAAAAATTCTGTGAAGGGAACAGAGAAAGGGGAGCTCTTATACACGATTGATTGTAATATAAATTAGTATAGCCAATGTAAGTTAATATGGGCATTATAGAAAATGCTATGGAGATTTTTCAAAAAAACTACAGCAAGCCAGGTGCTGATGGCTCACACCTGTAATCCTAGCTACTCAGGAGGCTGGGATCTGAGGATTACTGTTCAAAGCCAGCCTGGGCAGGAAAGTCTGTAAGGACTCATGTCCAATTCACCACCAGAAAACCAGAAGTGGCACTGTGGCTCAAGTGATAGAGTTGCCTTGAGCTGAAGAGCTCAGGGACAGCGCCCAGGCCTAGAGTTCAAGACTCACGACCAACCAACCAAAAAACAAACAAACAAACAAAAAAACTACAGCAAGAACTACTATGTGATCCAGCAATTTCACTGTTTGATATAAATCCAAAGTACATGATATCTGTACTTATATATTTATTGTAGCATTACCTGTAGTAGTCAAATTTAGAATCAAACTAATTATACATCAATGGATGAACAAGTAAAGAAAATGTGGTATATATACAGAGCTATATTTTGAGACTGTAAAGAAAAAGAAAAAAAATTTTAAAAAGAAATGAGCAACATTGGGCTGGGAAGGTGGCTCAGTGGTAGAGTGCTTGCCTTGCGTGCATGAAGCCCTGGGTTCAATTCCTGAGCACCACATAAACAGAAAAAGCCAGAAGTGGCACTGTGGCTCGAGTGGTAGAGCACTAGCCTTGAGCTGAAGAGCCTGAGGGACAGTGCCCAGGCCCAGAGTTCAGGCCCAACAACTGACAAAAAAAAAAGAAAGAAAGAAATGAACAACATGGATGAAACTAGAGGCCTTTATATTAAGTGAAATAATTCAGGCATAAAAAGACTTAGGCCACATGTTTCACTTACTTGTAGAAGGATTGTCATATAATGTGGCAAAGAAGTTTGTTGCAAGTGTTTTAAGTTTGATGCTTCTTATTGAACAGCTTAGCTTTTCATCACTTGCAGGCTAAATAACATATTTTTATGTATCGCAGATATTAAAGCTAATACAAAATCCATATTAATGTCACTTTCCAAGTAAGAATCAGTGAAGTCCTAATTTCACAGCAGGATCTTTGGGTGCAATCATTTGTTATGGTTTCCTATTTAGGGGGTTATAAACACTACCACTGTGGCTAATTCCAGACTACCAGCCTGATTTCATGTGCTAAAAGTGTCTCAACCCAGTACAAGTCCAGTGTGCACAGTTCCAGTGTGCACTGGACTATGATGACTCTATTACCGCCACCTGCCTAAGCTCACCATTCTCTTTATTCTTTAATGGCTTTGTTGAGTTGGATGCTTGTCCTTCTACTATTGCTGAAAGATATGTAAAATTACATTGCTTTATTAGCATGAGAATAAACAGTCAAGTGAAAAATCTCTCCATGTTATAGAGTTACTACTCAAAAAGAGCTACAGATCAATTTATTTTAGAACAAACCAAAAATGAAAGCCAAGATAATTTTTAATTAAGAGCCCCAACTCTCTTATAAGGAGGGGTTTGGTTACTATAAAGTAGGTGGTCATTATCTAGTATACATTTGTAACCACCTTCTTCTGTGTGATATATGAGGAGGTTATATTCCTCAGAGTTAGACATTTATTGAGTCTCATCTGCGTTGGGGGTCGGGGGTTCATGTTAGTGTTTAGTTGTTGTCTGTTTAATACTTAAGGTGTCCTATTTTAACCACTTTTAACATAGTCTAGACTAACATTAAAATAGGCCAAAAATGATTTCCTATGGAGAGGCGGGACTCTGACTGTCTGACTCAAATCACCCTCACGCAGAAGTGAAGCAGCAGTTCCAGCCAGCCTTTTATCTTTACTAGCAGCTTCATTTTCACAAGTGACTGCTGATGCAGATTCCAACCATGTTCACCATTGAAACAAGAAGCTGTGCCTTCTAGTGATAAATCTATTATATTAAAATGAGCTCCTGTTGAGAAATTCCTATTCTGATACCCTTTTAAGACTTAATTCTGATTCATTATTGCATCTAGTTAGTTCTTACCAATATTTGTTGAATGAATGTATGAACATAAACTAGCTAAGAAAAAATACTTATTATTGTCAAACAGTATAATAGATGTTCTTCATTATATATTGTTTTTTGATAGTCTAAACACCCAAAATATTATACAAACTTCCATTTATACTGAATGTATAATTTTCAGGAGAAAAGATTTTTATACTTCCCAGAATTATCATTAAGGATATAAGAAATCAGATTCTGCTGAAACATTTAGGCAATCTTAATGCTTAAAATTGTTTTACTGAAAATGCTTTACAAAGTGTTATCTCTGTTAGCTGATGTTAAGACACAGCCTTTGAATATCAACAAAGCAAAGAGTTGTGGTCTGCAAAGATATTCATTATGCTATTTAGTGTCCTCTTTTTTTTTTGCCATTCAACAAAGCAGTTTAACTCACTTGTACCTTTCCATCAATAAATGGGAAATTTCTTTTGCTCATAGTTCTATTTTGAATCACTGGCTTCTTTTTAGTTCATAGATGCTAGACTCACCTAGCTGATCTGAATTGAAAAATGTAGAATAATATCTAATGTGTCATGTCTTGCTGTCATCTCTGTATTTACCCTTTGCTTCACTTCATATCTTTTTTTATAATTCAAACCTTCTTAGAACTAAGGTATTAATTATGAGCTGGGTGCAGTGGCTCAAGCCTGTAATACTAACTACTTGAGAAGCAAGATTTAGAGATCATAGTTCAAGGCCAGCCTGGGCATGGTGGGACATGCCTATCATCTCAGCTATGGAGGAATCACAGTGGCTGGGCACAGTGGCCTTTACCTGTCGTCCCCATGACATAGGGAAGTAAAAGTAGGATGCTTAAAGGCTCACCCAGGTGAGACCCTGCCTCAAAAATGACCAATACAAAAAGGGGCCGGAACCAGGTGCTAGTGGACCATGCCTATAATCTTAGCTACTCAGGAGGCTGAGATCTAAGGATCTTGATTCAGAGCCAGACCAGGCAGGAAAATCCATGAGACTCTTACCTCCAATTAACCACCAAAAAGCTGGAAGTGGCTCTGTGGCTAAAGTGGTAGAGCACTATTCTTGACCATAAAAGTTCTGGGCCAGTGTGCAGACCTTGAGTTCAAGCCCCAGGACTGACACAAACAAGGGAGATGCCTTGGTAGAGTACCTGCCTAGCTAGCAGAAGGCCCTGAGTTTGATCTCTAGTACTTAAAAAAAAAAAGGGTAATTCTGAAGGTTTTGTTGTTGTTTCATCTCCCCCATCCCCTATCTGTTTGTGCTGGTAATGGGACTTGATCTCAAAGACTGGTGCTGTTGTTTGGCTTTTTTGCTCAAGGTTGGTATTCTACCTCTTGAGGCACACCTCCGCTTTCTAATTAATGAATTTTATAGCTCAGTTATCTGTATTAAGACTTAAATTTATTTCCCCCTTTTTTTTAAGTAACAGGATGAAAGTTAATTTATGTTACATTCAAAGACTGTGATCTACGTTTTAGTTTGTTAAAACATTGTATAAAACTATACCTTTCTTTTCCCTTTTAGGTAGCCAACAATTAGATTCTATTCATGTAACACAGTTGGAGAGAGATACTGTTTTAGTGTGTTTAGACAGTAAGTATTATTTTACAGGTTTTTTTTTAATACTAATACTTGTTGATAAAATCTTTAATGGCTTCTATTTTTCCAAGTGGCCTGGTTTTATTGGAAAAAAAATTAAATATGCTGGGCACCAGTAGCTCATACCTATAATCCTAGCTGAGAAATGAGGATCGCGGTTAAAAGCCAGCCCAGGCAGGAAAGTTCATGAAACTCTTTATCTCCAATAAACCACCCGAAAACCAGAAGTGGCACTGTGGCCCAAGTGGTAGAGCACTAGCCTTGAGCTGAATAGCTGAGGGACAGCGCTCAGGCTCAGAGTTGAAACCCCACAACTGACCAAAAAAAAAAAAAAACCTTGGGGTAAAATTTGTAGAAATGATTCTGTGTGTCATAGCTCACTTTAACTATAAAAATAAATGACTTTGAGTCATTTGATGCAGGGAAAGGTGTTTTGGTAGAAATGTGTTATACTGTGAACAGTTGAGAGACATAAAAATCTTTAGATCTGGCACAGGAAGCATTCTGCTTCTTAAAATTCAACAAATTTTTTTATGTAATGAATCCTACAAGACAAAATTCATCATCATTGATCTGAAGGGAGTTAAGACAATAGACTAAAAAAAGCAACACAAAGAAAGACGGTCTTCCAGTCAGAGCCAAGATGGTGAAATTCAAGAACAATAGACAAAGGGAGATGGGTTGTTTTGTGCTCCCCATGTCCATTCCAGAGCCTCTTGTCCTGGAGAGTACGGTTGGTGCCCTAAGACCTTTGCAATCGAACTCCTACAGTAGAGAGATGAATTGTTGCAAATGATACTCACTATATATTTGTGTAATTTGTAAGGAAAAATCAGTTCATTGCCAAGAGGCACCAAAGTTGCCTCTTGAAAACAATAAATATTCTTTAAAAAAAAATGAAAAAGTGTTCGGTGTGTACTGCTTATAAACAAAAAATAATGGTAATAAAATTGTCATCTACCACAAGCATCAATGGCTCACGCCTGTAATCCTTCTGTAATCTCAGGAGGATGAGATCTAAAGATTGCAGTTTGAAACCAGCCCAGGTAGAGAAGTCCATAAGACTCCCATCTCAAATAAACTACTCAGAAAAAGCTGGAAGTAATACTAGGGCTCAAGTGGTAGAGCACTAGCCTTAAGCACAAAGAGAACAAGGACGGTGCCCATGCTCTGAGTTCAGACCCCAGGACCAGCAAAAATAAATATAAATAAATAAGTAAAACAGTTATTCATATCATAAATTGATTTTAGGGAATTTGAATATCTGGTCTTGACTTTGGGTTTTTTGTTTGTTTTAAGAATTTGTAAAAATTGTAAATCTACAAGGAAAACTAAAATCAAGTAAGAAACTGGCCTCTGAGCTAAGTTTTGATTTTCGCATTGAATCTGTAGGTAAGTACCTCTTTCTTATTGTTGAGTTTAAATACTTAGAATGTTTTGGTCATTCTGTAGAATAGAATGTTAGCTCTAAAGAGAGTTACTAGACCTGCACAGCTTCATTGAAGTTTCTGTGGTGATAGAACTGTTCTGTCTGTGTTCTTAAATACAGTAGCCATTAAACACATGTTGCTGATAAACACCAGAAACATAGCTAGTACTGCAGATTACTTTTTAATTTCTAGTTAAATTTTCATGTGAGTAATTAGAGTTATATGTCAGTACCTACCATATTGGGAATACAAGTGTTTTTTTTTATATTTAAAACTTAGAATAGTGTCAGGGCACTGGTGGTTCACACCTGTAATCCTAGCTACTGAGGAAGCTGAGCTTTGAGGATCACAGTTAAAAGCTAGCCCAGGCAGGAAAGTCCTTGACAATCTTATCTCCAATTAACTACCAGAAAACCAGAAATGGAGCTGTGGCTCAAAGTGGTAGAGCACAAGCCTGGAGATCAGAGACAGTTCCCAAGCCTTGAGTTCAAGCCCTAGGATCAACCAAAAAAAAAAATCTTAAAATAATTTATGTTTATCTTTCCCATTGCTGCATCACTAATTACACTTTTCTCAGTTCTTTATAAACCATAAGGTGTTTGTTTGGTATGATAATAGTTTTAGATATGGTCAAATTCTTTGCCATATAATATTCTACTTAGTGTATGTTAATGTGCTTTTTTTGTTATTGGTACTAAGTAGTTGTAAAAAGCATTACAATTTTATGTCAGGTTATCAGTATAATTCTTCTTGATCAATATCACCCCTTCCTCATTCTTTCCCATTTTACCCCTCCTATCCCTACCCTCAAGTTACATAGTTCATTTTTTTACATAATGTACACTGAATATAATGACTACACTTGCTCACTCTTCCATTTCTGGTCCCCCTTTCCTGTCTCACCCCCAAAACATGTTTCCACTTCCTAGTATTCGTTTTGATAAATAGTACTTTCGTTGTTCGAGGGAGTTACACTTTTAGATTCCTGCCATAAGTATACTCTCCTTTGTCAGTTAGTACATTAACGCATTGAGCCATGTATATGTTATACATAATTGTATTTTAGATTCAGTTTCCACATGTGAGAGAAAGTATTAACCATTTTTGCATTTAGATCTAGTTATAGATGAATAACAACTTTACCAAAGTTTAGAAACTAAATACACTATTTAATTGGCTTTTTTTAAATCAGTATTTACACTGCAAAATTCACTGGTTTTCTAATTTAAAAAACCATTAAAATATATTAGTTTTTACATATTTCTTAGGACATACCAATAATATTTTCCCTACGAGTGATAGAACTTGTGAGAAAAATATGGCTAAAAACACTTTGGACACCGGGCACCGGTGGCTCACGCCTGTAATCCTAACTACTCAGGAGGTTGAGATCTGAGGATCGCGGTTCAAAGCCAGCCCGGGCAGGAAACTCCGTGAGACTCTTGTCTCCAATAAACCACCAGAAAACCAGAAGTGGTGCTGTGGCTGAAGCGGTAGAGCGTTCGCCTTGAGCTGAAGAGCTCATGAACAGTGCCCAAGCCCAGAGTTCAAGCCCCACCACCGACCAAAAAACAAACACACACACACACACTTTGGACAATTGAAGATATATCCACCCTAAATCAAAGAAAGTGGTTAAAAAAACAGTTGGAGCTGAGCACTGGTGGTTCCATTCCTGTTATCCTAGATACTCTGGAGGCTGAGATCAGAGGATCATGGTTCAAAGCCAGCCCAGGCAGAAAAATCCCTGTGAGACTCTTATAACTACTCAAAAAAGACAGAAGTGGCACTGTGGCTCAAGTGATAGAGCATTAGCTTTGAGCACAGAGGGACAGTGCACAGGCCCTGAGTTCAAACCCCAGGACCAGAAAAAATGGCTCTTTTTATTTAGGCATCTAAACCATATTTGTCTTATAATTACATTTTTGTATGCTTCTTGTGTGCGCGCCAGTACTGGGAAACTCAGAGCCTTGCACTCCACTCAGGTTTTTCTGCTTGCAGCTTGAGCCACACTTCCATTTCTGCAGATTGATTGGGAACAAGAGTTTCTCAAATTTGTCTGCACAGTCTATCTTTGAATCACAGTTCTCTGATCTCAGCCTCCTGAGAAGCTAGGATTATAGGGTTGAGTCACCAGCACCTGACTCACTATTTTTTTCCCTACTTAGAAAATTTTTGGTTTTAAAAAATGAGTTTCTCAGAGCTGCAGTTTTGTAGCTCAGTGGAAGAGCACATGAGGTCCTGGGTTCAGTCCCCAGCACCATATTTGAGCTTCTGTGTATAACATCTGATAGAAACATACCTTGCTTATGATTGGAAAATTTAACTTGTTCTAGCAGAAAGTCTAAACAGAAGAATTCTGGAAGCTACTTTCATCTTTTACTCCTTTTTGTACTTTTTGATTTAATATCTTTGAAAGAGTCTAGCATATAGGTCATTTTTGTTTTAATTGTGATGTACTAACATATTAAATTTGCATATATGCCAAATTATGTAGGGAATTTTCATTTTTATATGAAAGTTTGTTCCTCTTTGGCTAACATCACTTCTTGTTGCTAAACCTTGAAATGGTTACAGTGATCCTCTTGGACAGAGTCCCTTAAAAAAATAAAACTGGTAACTCAGTTTTTCATTTATCACAATTAAGGAAACACATGTGATTTGTCATCATCAACTGCATTTATTTTTATTGAACTGAAGTACATTCCCAGAACTTTTTTCAGGGGCTTGAGGGTTAATTTGAGGTAAGAATCTCATGGACTTTGCTGCTGGGCAGGCTTCAAACTGCAGTTCTCAGATCTCAGACTCTCGAGTAGCTAGGATAACAGGCATGAGCCACCAGTGCCCAGCTGCTTCTCAAAACATTCTTACATTCTAACTTCATACTTGGTATTCTATTAAGTTTACTGGTAATTTTTAATAATTTTCCCTCACCATCTTTCCATTTCTACTTTCTTAATTCTGTTTAACTATCCCTTATACCTAACATTATAATTGGTTAAACACTAAAATTCTTGTATAAGAATTGACTCAAATCTTTACTATTCAGTGAGTCATTAAATTTTGGATTGTAAAGGCAGGTTTGCTTTAAAAATTAATTTTATTATAAAGAATATATAAACAAAAAGATGTTTGCTTATAGCTCCTTAAAGTTTAATCCAAAATCCCAGCTATGTTTTTACTTTAAGACATATGAAAGAGAAATTAATAAACCAGTACTCAATCATATGTTAAGCCTATATCTAAATGATACTTGTTGCATACATCTTTAAAAACTTGTACAACCCTGCCTCAGGATATTACTTGAGTTTAGACATGTCTTAGCCACAAAATATGTTGGGAAATAATGGTCTAGACAGTGGAATTTTGCCCTAAGCACTAGAATAGCCTTATGTTATCTTTATTAAAAAGAGTTAAGGGAAATTTACAGTGACATGCACTGTGGTTTACTTTAGTTCTCACTTATCATTTTTAGTATGCCTTCAAGACAGCGTGTTAGCTTTTTGGAAACATGGGATGCAGGGTAAGAGCTTCAAGTCAGATGAGGTAAGTTTTCTCAACTTCCATGACTCCTGCCAAGTGAATATTGAAACATTTCATTTTATGCTTTTTGGGTTTTTTTTTAACTCTGGGGCTTGAACTCTGGGCCTGGGTGCTGTCCCTCAGCTCTTCAGCTCAAGGCTAGTGCTCTACCACTTGAGCCACAGTGCCACTTCTGGCCTTTTCTGTTTATGTAGTGCTGAGGAATTGAACCCAGGGCTTCATGCATGGGAGGCAAGCACTGTACTACTAAGCCATCTTCACAGTCCCATTTTATGTATTTTCTTTCTGAAGCTACATTACCATCTTTGGTACCTTTAGTGCTCTAAACTAATTGAACTAATGTTCAATATGGTTTTATATTTTTAGATACTTAGTGCCCACAAGTAGTTATACAACATATTTACATACTTTCATTCCTGTAATTTGCAATTTGTAAATATGGTTATGACCGTGTTAAACTTATAAATTTAATGAGCACTCTCCATAATATATAAATGCATAGCTGCTTTTAAAATATACTTTAAATGATAAATTAATATTTGTTGGATCATAGAACTAAAGAAAAACTAAGGAAATAAGTTTAATAAGTTTTTAAGAGGTTTTTTTAGTAAGTATCAACTACATTGATGACACTGTTATTGTAAATGCATAATACCAATTATGTTCTAGGCTGTTTATAAATATTCATTTATGGCTCAAAATAATCCAATGGAATAGATATCCTTCATACTACTATTTTTTTTTTACAATTTCAGAGTAGATAATAACTTGTCTAGAGTCATAGTTAAGTGGCAGAGCCTAGGTTTTGAAAATTAAAAAATACATATTTGAAGCTGAAATAAGCAGGATACATTTCATTTCAGAGATGGGATTCAGTTCTAGCCTTCTAGCCTTGAGGGGTGAATTCCTGGTTTAACAGAGCCATTTCCTATTTGTGTAATTTTTCTATACTATGGTCCCACAAATTTGTGGACTTATTGTAAAGTTTAGAATCTTGTTCTATTGAATTTGCCTTTATTTTTATTCGTACTTATTCATATGTGAATAAATATTTCTCTCTCCAGGAAAAAGTAACTGTCTTTGAAATGTGAATTTATCTAAGTTAATAACCACGTTATAAGTCACAGGTCCCTGCATTTGATAAAATCTACAATCCTACTTAATTCTATAAGGTCAATTGTTCTTAAATGCTATTTTCATTCTTGTTGTCTTTTTATGAGAAATGTACAGAAAATAACCTGTCTGTCATCAGATCAAAATCCTATTTCCTCACTACATTGGTTCACTCATTGGTTGGTGGTGCTGGGAATTGAACCCATGACTTTGAACTAGGAAGGCCCTCTGCCACCTACCTAAACTCCTAGCCACTTACCTACCTACTTTTACCATAGCTTGCTCACCTCTTTCTTTCTGTTCTCAACTTTCAGTTAGACCTAGTTTAAGTCTTAAACCTTTTCTTACATTAATAATCAGTCACTCTAATCTATGATTTGGTCCAAACTTAAAAACCATGAAAAGTAACTTCATTTAATATAGCAGCTAACTTGTATTTTGAGTCACATTTATTAATTCTGTCTTCCTAGCTAGACAGCCAGGCTGTGTTAGTTTGATTACCTTCAAAAGGTTACTTCACAAAGAACCCAACTACAGGTAGTTTATTTGGGAATAAATTTCAGAAAACAGGTGATGAAATGAGGAATATAACATGAAGGAGAAGGAATAAAAACATTCATAACCTATTCCCGCACTGTGCACAACCAGGGACCACTTGGCAATGTTGCAGAATGCACCAAGTGCTCTCCCATCCATCTCTGTTAAGGATTGCTCAGGATGCACTTCATTGCTGAGGCCCTGCTGTAGCATTTCAGAAAACAGCAAGAAATATAAGAGATAGCAATTTATCTCACCTTGTGCAAGTTCCTTGAACTCTCTGAGCCTTAGATTCTTTTTCAATAACCTGATAATTATAATGTGTATCACAAAGAATTCTTCTAAGGGAAATGCCTGATCCGTACCAGATGTTCCATAAGTAGCCATTCTACTAATAGGCACTCATAGAAGAAACTTACTGAAATGTATATCATTTGAGGAATTGAGTCTGTTATTTATTCTATTTAATAATTGCTCCATCTGAATGATTTTTAAATTGTTACTTAAGCAATCTGTGGTTACATGTGACTAAAAAGTTTTCTTCCATAGGTTACCCAAGAGATTTCAGATGAAACAAGAGTTTTTCGCTTATTGGGATCAGACAGGTAATAAATAGTTTGGTTGTACTAATGAAGAGATTGTATGTTTCCAGTCAATACAATATAAGGATCTTCATTCCAGAGATAGTTATACTCAGCCAAGACAAAAGTTGGGAGTATAGGTGTTTATGTCCCTAGAATCATGAAAGAAATCCTACACCCTTTGTACTCATTCTTCCCGGTGAATTACCTTCTCTTAATTATTATGAATATGCATTTCCTGATATTTGCTTTGTCAGTTCCTCAGCTCATTCTAATCTAAAGGAATTTGTGTAGTGTCTCTGTGAACAAAATAAAAGACAAGTCTTAAAATTGTGCCATAATAAGAAAAAATAGTTAATTTTGTTTCTAAAATCTACATTGTCTACCTCTGTAACTAATAAAATGCTCATTTTTCCTGTTTTCCCATCAAAAATGGAACTGCAGCAAAATTGGCTATGGCAATAGGCATCAGTTATAAGACACAGATTGAAGACACCATAATGATTTAAATATAATGAAATATTGAGGAAGATGGGATAGAACGGAATCATGATTTTTCAATAAGTTTTTAATAAGTTTTATAAGGATAAAAAGGGATTTTAAATAAGGATGACTACCTTAGTTATTAAAAAAGATGACAGCAGGGCTGGGAAGGAGGCTGGCTGAGTGGTAGAGCGCTTGCCTTGCATGCATGAAGCTCTGGGTTTGATTCCATAGCACCACGTTAAGCAGAAAAAGCCAGAAGTGGCGCTGTGGCTCAAGTGGTAGAGTGCTAGCCTTGAGCTGAAGAGCTGAAGGACAGTGCCCAGGCCCAGAGTTCAGGCCCCACGACCAACCAAAAAAAAAAAAGAAAGAAAGAAAAGAAAAGATGACAACATAGTAAGCATTCCAGCAAAAAAGAAAGAAAAATAATTTAAAGACAACTGGGTAAAGGACTCCAAAACGAGTGAGATACTCTGATGCAGGAAGGACTAATTAATTATGGATCCTCCAGTGGTCCTGATGCCAAGGGTATTTAAATTAGACACAACCTGAGAGAATTCTGTCTATAGAAGGGGTGCTGTCAGAAGCTAATTCTCCATTGTTTTAGTTTTCTCCTTGGTTGTTCATTTCCTTCTTAGTCTGCAGTGTCTTACTACTCAAAGTTTGCTCCTAAAACTACCTTTTTCAGACCATTGCCATGTTCTTTTATCTTCTTGACTATTTCCTTGATTTTAAGATTTATATCTTAGCTGAAGTCTTTGTCTTAATTTTTAAAATGATTGAGCTGGGTGCCAGTGGCTCATGCCTGTAATCCTAGCTACTCAGGAGGCTGAGATCTGAGGATCGCAGTTCAAAGCCAGCCCAGGCAGGAAAGTCCATGAGACTTTTTTCTCCAATTAACCACCAGAAAAACTGGAAGTGGTACCATGGCTCAAATGGTACAGTGCTAGCCTTGAACTGAAGAGCTCAGGGACAGTGCCCAGGTCCAAAGTTCAAGCCCTACAATGGATACATAAATAAGTGATTAAATTTGTTGTTTTTAAATATACATAAAAATCACTGAATATATCAAAATACTAATAGTGGTTAGCTCTAGGTAGTTACATTATAACTGTTTTCCCTTTTTCTGTAACACATAATATGAAGTATATTTTTACTACTCATTATAAACATAATAGTATGCTAGTTGTAGAAAATTCATATAGTAGCCGGATGCTAGTGGCTCATGCCTAGCTACTCAGGAGGCTGAGATGTGAGGATCACAGTTGGAAGCCAGCCAAGGGCAGGAAAGTCCATGTTTATCTCCAATAAACTACTCAAAAAAAGCCAGAAGTGGCACTGTGGCTCAAGTGGTAGAGTGCTAGCCTTGGGCACAGAGAGGCTTAAGGACAGGACAGCACCCAGGCCCTGAGTTCAAGCCCCACAACCGGAAAAAAAAATGTACTATCCAGAAAATGTGTATACCTCAGAAATACAAAATACAGGTACAGTATGTCTTCCCATCGCTTTGCAGGCTTTCTTCTGTACCTATTTTCATATAGTTCTGAAACTCCTCTTTACAATCACAATGTTATGGGATGGCACTTGATTGATATTTTTTCTTTGCATCAGATCTCTGACTTGTACTTTGTCCAACAGGCAAAGGAGAAGGGTCCAATTTTCAAACATTTATTTTCAAATACATTGAAGAACAATTATGGATGAATGACTCTTAGGTTTTGTTTTATTCTCTCAGCCCTTCTACCCCTTACCATTAGAGTAAATTCCTGAAGCATTGCTATATCTATTGTTGGCAAATATACATAAGTACATTGGTTGTTAGTAAAGATGAGTAAATGAGTAATGCATAAAGATGATGATGAGACTCTCCCCAAGTAGTATAATATTTTACATTTAGTAATTACTATTCAGTTATGCTTTAAGTATAAAGTGTAATAATGAAATTTTGTATTTTGATGTTTATGTACTTCTGGGAGAAAGAATACCAATATTCTTTGCTGGTTTAATGTTGAAATTTGAAGCATGAAATCTGTTTTTACTCTTAAGAAAGCCTTTTGTTTTGGTTTAATTGCAGGGTTGTCGTTTTGGAAAGTAGGCCAACAGAAAATCCTACTGCACACAGCAATCTCTACATCCTGGCTGGACATGAAAATAGTTACTAAGCAACAAAAACCAATCTTAAGTGACAGGAAAATGAATCTGTTCCACTGAAAGCAAAAATGTTTCAAGGAAATTCATTAGATGGCAGTATGATTTGCTTTAACTGTTATGGGTTATATCTCAGATGATCTGTACATTAGGGTAGAATTCAATATTTTCTGTAGCTGGAAACAGCTAGTCTATCTCTTGCCACTGTGTGGTGGTTATATCAAGTTTGCTTAATAAAAGCTATGAGACGAATAGTCCTCTAGTTCCAGGAAACAGTCTTTTTTTAAAGAAATTAATAATGTTTGTAACAAGGGTGCCATGGTATTTTTAAATAACTCATGTGATTATCTGGAAAGATTTAGTGACCATTCTATCATTTTATACCATGCCTTATTCCTTCTTAATGAACACATGGATATAGAAATGATTTGACAAGCCTTTCACTGTCCCTTGGCCATTCTGTATGTTTGTGTAAAATAGAATATTTAATCCTTATTTATTAATCTCTTGCTGGAGTGGTGTGATATATCTAACTTTTAGAAAAGAAAGGTTGCAGAGCAGCTTAAAGTTTTTATAATGTATAAAATTTTTCTTTATCTTTTCAGACTAGTGCTTTAGGAGTTAGAGACAGTCTGTGTAAGAATTCAACACATAGGCAATTTTCATTTAACAAAGTATTTTATAGTACAGTTTCATGCAAGATTGCCTTAAAGGAGAGTTTTGTATTTTCAGTTACAAATAGTTGTAAAGGTCATGCAAAAACTATTAATGATGGTTGAAATATTCTTAGAAAGGTCTGAGTATGTCTAAGTATGGTATGACTACCATGTGTATGTATTCTTGACAAGCAGTATAATGGACCTGTGACTTTTTTTTGCATTGGGGATAATGCATAAGAAATAATCTTCATATATATTATCATCCCTAATATAGAGGAGAAAAGTATTTAACTGCCCTTATAATGTATTTTACTTATACTATGCCAGAGGGGAACTGTAAAGCAATTATACTTGTAATCTTGGGGTTTTCATATATGTGAGAGTATTCATTTTGAATAGGTTTAAGGGAGGGAAAAGACTTTAAGTGGAATCTCCTGATGGGATAGTATAAATAAGTATTGTTGAAACCAGTATTCCAAAAATAAGAAAGCATAGGGCCATTTTTTTCAGTTTCTTTTGCTATTGTGAGTATTCAAAAAGTGTTATGGTACCTTTTGTTGTCTTAATGCATTTATTAAGAACAATTAGCATTGAGATGACAAACAGCAGCAAAACTGTAATTCTCCCTAGCTCCTCGGGAGGAAAGCAGTGTAGCTATCTCATCCATCCTTTAGCAATTCTGTAAAATAAGTATTATTGTCCCCATGTTTCAGACAAGGAAGTAAGGGTTTTAATGAGGTTAGTGACTTGCCCAATTCATACAGGTTAGTGATTGAGCCAGACCATGAGTCTTCTGACTCTGTTCTTTTCCTATGCAATATGCAAACAATAAAACATTATACAATTGAACTACCAAGTATTTGTTCTTTTAAAATGTTAATATGGGGCTGGGAAGGTGGCTCAGTGGTAGAGCGCTTGCCTCGCATGCATAAGGCCCTGGGTTCACTTCCTCAGCACCACAAAAGCAGAAAAAGCTGGAAGTGGCGCTTGGCACAAATGGTAGAGTGCTATCCTTGAGCTGAAGAGCTGAGGGACAGCACCCAGGCCCAGAGTTCAGGTCCCACAACCGACATTAGTCAGCTTAACATAGGAAATATGTTAAGTGAATCTTCTATATTAAGGTATAAACTGCTTAGCTAGATAACACTGCACCGAATGTAATAGTTGATATGCCTCACATACACATGCACATCTTTAGTCTTGTGCTGTTAAAAAAATGAATACAGCCAGGCGCCCATGGCTCATGCCTGTGATCTTAGCTACTCAGGAGGCTGAGATCTGAGGATCACAGTTGAAAGCCAGCTCTGGCAGAAAAGTCCGTGAGACTTTTATCTCCAATAAACCACTAGAAAACCAGAAGTGGCACTGTGGCTCAAGCAGTAGAGTGCTTGCCTTGAGCTGAAGAGTGCAGGGACAGCGCCCAAGCCGAGAGTTCAAGCCCCACGACCGACCAAAAAAAAAAAAAAAAAAGAATACATAACTAAAGTTAAAAGGAGTCTGAGGAAGGTCTCTACATGAGAAAGAGAAAACAATTCAGCAGTAAAGAACTCTTAAAGGAAGAAGAGCTTCCAGAAAACCAAGTATCTTGGAAAATAATATAAATAATTCAATTGGAAGGAAGGTCTGGAGTATAAAGTTGAAGAAGGTTCTCAAAAAAAAAATGAGTAGTAAATACACATATTGAAAAATAAATGTAAAGAAAATGAATGGCCTAGGCGGCCCAACACCCAATTTCCAAGCATTCCAAAACAAAAATGCAGCATGAAGAGAAGAATTAGAAGCTTTCAGAAAAAAGAAAAAATCCAGTACTGAGGAACATCGGAATCTAGATTGAGAAAGAGCACAATGGGGAAAAGCCATTTAATAAAACACATGAAATTTCAAGGACCCTGAGGTGAAACAATTCATGTTTCCAGAAAAAAAGGGCAGGCAGGTCAGATGCCAAGGAATAAGAAATAGATTAACTTGTAGTTTCTACAGAAGTAATAGTTTCAAACTAATAAAGGAATTTTTTTTTAATAAAGGAAATTTTTAACCAACATTCTGTGTCTACTGAAGGTAAGGGTAAATAGAGACAGTCGTTTGCTTTATCTCCTATACACCCTTTTTCAAGAAGTAGAAGGGTGGTTTCAGTGGTAAACACTAGCCAAGTGAGTGAAGAAGCCAAGCAAGGCATGAAGCCCTAAGTTCAAGCCCTAGGACTGGCAGAATTAAGTAAGTAAATGGTAAATGTATAAACCAAAATGAAGTCCTGGGACACAGAAAACAGCACAGGATTCAGCACAGGGCAGAGATGAAGGGAAATCCTCACATGCTGGCTATGGGATGTCCACTGCTGACCACTGCCACGAGAATATATTGAAGCATATAAAGAATATCCTGGGCAATACTTTTTCAGGATGACTACTGTATCTCATTAGCATAAGAGTTACACAACAATCTATGAGAAGTTCCTCCTAAATGCCTTAGAAAAGAACATAATAAAGATTATTTTAGGGATTCCAGAAATCACAGAGATTCCAGAAGAGATAATTGAGGGACAAGATATGAAGATGGGAAATAGAGAAAAATAAACATAATGGTGCTTTCTTGAGGTCATTATGCAAACAGTGGGATCCGGAATCCACCAAGTCCTCTAAGAAGCTATTTACTCCCACATTTTATCTCCAGAAAGGCAAGTAGCTTTATCTACTGATTCACTCCTACTGATCTCCATGAACTTGGAGCAGAGTTGGCACATGGGACAACTAGGCTGTGTGAGAGAAATCTCTAAGGCAAAAAAGATGAAAGGATGAGATGAACTTGCGCTGGTGGATTAGTACGTTAAGTAACAGAAATCAAAGGTGGGGAGGAACATACAAAGAAATTTTAAAATGACATGGTATAAATATGTTAGAAACAATAGCAAGAAAGAAAAAACCACTTGTGTCCCTATCTTGGGGTTCATTTCGCTTAACATTATCTTCTCTGGTCATATGTACATAGCTTAACCCATTTGCACTGTATTTGATTCCCGTACCCTGAATCTTGTATATACACTTCTCTAATTAGGAGAGGAGAGGGGGAAAAAAGTACTTAAATAGAGATACAGGTTGACTCAGTAACAATGAGATGTACAGACACTATGTTGAAAAACAAACTTCACAATTTAGGGCGGGGAGTGTAGTTGTGGAGGTGGGAAGGAAGCGATGGTAAGGGAAAAACAAAGGAAGAGGTAACAATGCTTGATAGGAAATGTACTCATTACCTTGCTCGTGTAACTGTAACCCCTCTGTACAGTATTTTTACAATAAAAAAATGTATTTAAAAAAAATCAAAGGTGGATGGAGATGGTTTCCAAGGCCCCAGGATTCAATCAGGGATGATTTTTATTTGAAGGAAAATTTTAAGATTTAAATCAACAACTGACAGCTCTTAGAAAACAAAACACAAAGAGTGGGACCAACTAGTGGTTGAATGGCATGTGAACAGTGATATTCTAGTCAAAATTACAACATAATTGTGTCAGGACAAGACATGAGGTAGAAAGGTTACCCAAATCCTCATTTTCTGTACTGAAAACAAAATTTATTAAAAATGCTTTTAAAGTACTAAGAATGGGGCTTGTAGTTAGAGTGCTTGCCTAGTATGCATGAGGCCCTGGTTTTGATTCCTTGGTAGCACATAACAACAAATTAATAAAAGGGAGAAAAAACAAAAAGCTTTTAAAGCCAGGTGCCAGTGGCTCATATCTGTAATCCTAGCTACTCTGCAGGCTGAGGATCATGGTTTGAAGCCAATCCAGGCAAGAAAGCTCATAAGACTAATTTCTTCAATTAACTACCAGAAGAAAAAAAAAGGCAAATAGATCTGTGGCTCAAGTAATAATGCAGTACCCTTGAGCAAAGAAGCTCAGAGACAGTACCCAGGCCTAGGTCCTGATTTCAAGTCCCAAGGCCAACATTAAAAAAAAAAAAAAGCTAGATGCCATTGACTCATTCCTGTAATCCTAGTTATTCAGGATGCCAAGGCCTAGTGGATCACAGTTCAGAACAAGCCCAGGCAGAAATGTCTGTATGATTCTATCTCCAATAAACCAGAATAAAAGAAAAAATTACATCAAGCCAAAAAGCTTCTGCACAACATGGAATAAATCAACAAAGGATAATTTATGGAATATGGGAAAATATTTCTAAACTATACATCAGAAATATATGAAGAAGCTGGGTGCCAGTGGCCCACACCTATAATCCTACCTACTCAAGAGGCTGAGGATTGCAGCTCAAAGCCAGCCCAGACAGGAAAGTCCAAGAGATTCTTATCTCCAGTTAACCACCAGAAAACTAGGAGTGGCACCGTGGCTCCAAGTGCTGGAATACTAGCTAGCTTTGAGTGCAAAAGTTTAGGGGATAGTAGGAGGAGAAAAAGGAGTGGGTAACAATGTTCGACAAGAAATGTACTCATTACCTTACTCATGTAACTAACCTCTCTGTACAGCATCTTTACAATAAAATTTAAAAAAAAAAAAACCTTTAGGGACAGAGCCCAGGCCCTGAGATCAAGCCCTATGACGAAGCAAAAAATATGTGTGTGTTATAAGGGCTATCTTCAGTTTTTCATGCCTATAATCCAGCTGTTTGGGGAGGTGGATTAGCAGAATGATCATGATTTGAGGCCAGATGAGGCAATAAATAAGGAACCCTCGCCCCTCTACCATCTCATTCAATAAGTTGAGCATGGTGGTTTGCATCTGTTGTCTGAACCAATCAGTACATAGTCTAGGCTAACCTGGAACATAAAACATGAGATCCTATCCAAAATACAAAGCAGAAAAACTGGAGCTAAGACTCAAATGGTCGAGTGCCTGCCTAGGGAAGCATAGAGCTCTGAATTCAAACTCCATTAACACCCAAAGAAGAAACAAGAATGCAGCTCAGTGCTAGAACTCTTGCCTGACATGTAAAAAGTGCTTGAGGTGTGGTTCAGTGGGTAGCACATGCATGAGGCCTAGCATATGTGTTTTATATATATATATATATATATATATACACATTTACACATACATGTATTTATATTGACATACATATATAGCTTTTGTATATGTAGTTTTTTGGTTTGTTTTTTTTTTTTTTGGTCGGTCATGGGGCTTGAACTCTGGGCTTGGGCGCTGTCCCTCAGCTCTTCAGCTCAAGGCGAGCACTCTATCACGAGCTACAGCACCACTTCCGGTTTTCTAGTGATTTATTGGAGATAAGAGTCTCATGGACTTTCCTGCCCTGGCTGGCTTTGAACCGAGATCCTCAGATCTCAGCCTTCTGAGTAGCTAGGATTACAGGCGTGAGCCACCGACGCCCAGCTTTGTAAATGTAGTTTTTATGTATTTGTTTACCATATACAAATACATGTTCAAATATGCATATTCATATATAGTAAGTATATAACTTCTGTCATTTCCAATATGGATGAACTCGAAGGATATAAGTGAAATAAGCCAGATACAGAAAGAATACACAATTTCATTTCTTGCAGAATCTAGAAAACTGGAATCACCATAGTAGAATAGAAGGTACCAGGGGCTAAGACTGAGGCTAAGGAAATACTCATCTAAGAATATAAAACTTCAGCTCTATAGGAGACATTTTGGGGGAGGTGGGGTGCAGGTGGCTTTTAACTCACAGCTAGTGCTCTAACTTGAGCCACATCGCCAGTCTAGCTTTCTTGCTGGTTAATTGGAGATAGAGCCTTGAGGACTTTTCTGCCTAGACTGGCTTTCAACTATGATCCTCAGATCTTAGACTCCTGAGTAGCTAGGATTGCAGGTATGAGCCACCAGCACCTAGCCAGATAGGAAATTTTCAGAAACTT